TGCACCCCTCTATAGGGCACCTGCGCCTCAGAAGGACTACTATAGGGTATATTAAGGGGATACTAGGAATTTAGACTATAGCTCAAATGATCCGATGAAGCTGACGTGGTTTATGGATTTAGGGGGTTTAGGGTCTAGGGGTTGAGGGGTTTAGGGTTTAGGGGTTTAGGGGCTTAGGGTTTAGGAGGGTTAGGGTTTAGGACTAAAGACTTAGCAATTGGGGGAACATAGTTCTCCCCCAACTGATTACGCAACAACACATGAGCAAGAAGGTTCTTTGTCTGATATTTCCCCCCAATTGTTCAGCCTACTGGGGCTTGTTAGGGAATAAGGGACCGGACTCTATTACATAGGGATTATACAGATAGCATATTCCCTTATTCCCTACTAACCCCTAAACCCTAAACCCTAAACCCCAGTAGGTTAGTACTCAGCAGCTAAGCTAAGCTTCGGCACTGGGGTCCGTCTCGCGGCCCAGCAGGGTCTTAGCCGGAGAGGCCTGGCGACTGGGGCCCCAAAGAAGCAAACAAGGATCCCTCTCTTTTTTGTTGTTTATCCATATTGGAGTGTATATAAAGGTATTTGGAGGTATCTTGGGATTTTTTGCAGTATATTGGAATTTATGCAGAATCAGACGGAAGAGAATATGGAAACTGAATTAGAAGTTACGGCATTTTTGAATAGTTCTGTCTTCTTGCCTGCGTGGAAGGCGTGCGGGAGGAAGGCGATGGTGATTGCTGAGGGTCGGACATCTGCCTCAAAAGTCCAGCTCTCAGATCAAGACACGCCAGCAAGCCCCCCAAAGGCCAAGGCGACCATTGAGGCAGGATGGCCTTCGCTTCAAAAGGAGAAAAAAATGATGTTTTGCTTTCAATGTCTTAGGAGGACCCCCCACCCTGTAATAGTGGTATAATAGGAATATAAGAGGACCCTAATATAATCCTTATTTTTCCATAATAGTCACCATTGCTGGGTGGAGGGTCCACCTAATCAATGTCCCTTTTTCAACCAGCGCTGCCTCCTCCCGTTCCTCCGGCTCCTTCTCCAAGGAGGACGACGCCTTCTCCTCCACAGGCGCCTCCGCGGCCTCTGCGACGGGCGCCACGGACGCGACGGACGCCACCTTGGCCTGGCAACAAAAACGGGAGCTTGTTCATTCCCAGACCACCCCCAAAAGGATCCCAAAAAATGGAACCCCCTAAGAATCCCCTAGCTACCCCAATGTAGTAATGGGTTCATATTGGGGAGGTTCCATGTTTTTGGATCCTTTAGGGGGTCTGGGTTCAAAATGGCAGCGAGAGATGCAACGCATTCTTACGGCCTGCGATGGTGCCTGCGCCCGGCGCTCCTGAAAGGAAGGGGAAAAACAGTAGATTCGTAGGAGAAAGGAGGGCTTTCGCTTGCTTTTTCTGTAGGCATTAGGGCCATATTGGGGTTATATAGGGGTGGTATAGGGATAATGGAAAAGAAAATGGAAACTACTATTTAGGGTTCAGGGTATGCGCCTGCAGCTGGATCACTTCTTCAAATTGCTGCGCCAGCTCGGCGAAGGCCTCTCTTAGCCATTAGCCATGCTCCCATCTGACATTAGCAGCGGTTGAGTTTGGGTCTCCCGGCCGGGCGGTCAGCTTCCGGGACCTCAGAAAGGTTTAGGGCTTTAGGATTTAGGGTTTAGGGTCTAGAGTCCCCCTCAAGTAGATAGAATATGGTGTATATGGGGATTTTATTACAATATACCCAAAGCCATATTCTATCTACTTAAGGGGGACTATAGGGTTTAGAGCAACCAGAGAGAGATTAAGAGCACGTTTGGGGTACTTTTCCCCACCTTCATGCAGGACAATAGGACGGCGTGGGCCTCTGCCGGGTACTTCACCTTCAGCCAGCACCCGCTCCCGTGGCCTATTACTATAGTATTCCTATACTATTCCTATAGTATATCATTACTATAGTATTCCTATATCATATTACTACTATATTCTTCCTCTATATCTCCACATTATTTCTATTTCTTACCATCTTTTTGCCTGTTCTGGCCTGATGGGGGAATTCAGCCGCAGCATCGAAAGGCTCCTCACAGGAACTGACAGGAACTTGGTAATTCTGATTACCGCGACTTGGCAGAAGTGCTGGATCCAAGAAATATTATCTTAAGCCTTGCCGCGCACTGCGCAGGCCACCTAGCAGGATGTATATTGGATTGGACACGGCTCCTCTGCATTCTGCGCCATAGCCTTCAGCTTTTCCGCGACCTGCGACAAAGAGATTGCTGCGCAGTGCATGGCTGCACGAGCTGAGGGTTTAGATTTACATGAGCTAAAGTCTAAAATCCTAGTCTCCCCCTTAATAACCCCCAAAGCCACTCCCTTATATAATCCCCTATCTAACCCCCTTTAAGGAGTTGTGGCTGCAGCTCATGGTCAGGTGTAGTAGTCCACAATATAATCCCCTACATAGCCCCCTTGAAGGAGTTTAGACCCCAAACTCTAAACCCTAAATTTCCTAAATAAAGGAGATTCTATAACCCCCTACATCCCCCCCTTTTATGGAGTCTAGCCTATAACTTCCATGCTGCCTTCCCCAAGCACCTGCCTCAGTTCTCTTCGTCCAATTTACCCATGGCGTCTGGCCGTCCGAGAACATCTCCCAGAGCCTGGGTACCAACAAAAAAGCATGCTCATAATATAATATGCTATACTATAAGATAAAATGATATACTACAGATAGAATAATGTAGAATTATACTATATAAGATAAGATGATATAACATAATGCTGTCTTTGAATTCGTCTGGAAATTTAAAGCGCTTAGACAGATTGGGGGACCAAAAGGGCCATCTAGGGAACATGTCCGGTGTCATCTACAGCTTACTACAGTTTGAGCCAGATTTCCTAGGCTTTTGCCCAGAGCCCGAGTACCTCTGGAAGAAGGCTTGATACAATCATGTGGTAGTTTCCCTAAATTACTGTTCCCAAAATGGGGGAAATTTATATAGGGCCCCGTATTATAATGGGCACCCAAATATAGGACCCCGTATTATAGGGAATCTAGACCAATCCCCATGTGCTACGACTCACGCAACATTCCGCCAACCAGACTAGGAACCCGGCAAGACATGAGCTATAGTCTAAACTCCTAGTACTTAACAAACTAGTAGTCCCCTATATGATCCCCTATATAACCTCCTTTAAGAATTTTAGGCCCTGAACCCTAAACCCTAATCCCTGAACCCTAAATCCGAAACCCTGAGCCCTATATGATCCCCTATAGAACCCCTTTTTGTGGAGTTCAGACTATAGCTCACATCCAGATGTCTTCTCCAATTACCTGGTGCTTCGTTCCGGGAATCTTGGGCTGCTCCATACGCGCATGCACAGGTTTCAGGTGCGCAGTTGTTACCCAGGCCCAGGCCCCTTACAAAATAGATAGGTTTTAGGGTTTAAATGTTCTACAAAATAGATAGGATTTAGGGTTTAGATGTTCTACAAAATAGATAGGCTTTAGGGTTTAGACGTTCAAGTACCCTACCGAGGAGCTGTTGCTGAGCCCTGACTAAACCCCCTAACACTCCCAAATCTGAAGGTCGGGCAATGTGCCCGTAGACCAAACATCGGCGCGGTAGCTCAACCTTTGTGCAAATCGGGGATCTGACGCTCAGGCGCTGCTTGGGGACTTCTCCAAAGCGCTGAATTGAGACGGCATGTAGTGTGTAATTGTATCTATATACATATGCATATATACATACTTGGGCAACCTTTTTGTGTATATGTACATATACATATATGACACATCTACAGCATATAACAAAATGATTCAGGTTCATTTTGACTGAACCCTACTTCTTCACCCAAACCTTTCCAACGCAAGTCAGGGCCCAGGCTTTTGAAACGCGCACGTCTCTGGCGAGACCCAGCGGGTGGCTGCCGGCTGCTTGCGGATCTCGTGGTCGGTGCCCTCCTGACAAAAGGGGATTCGGGCTTAAAGCCCTAAACCCTAAACCCTAAATAGTAGTTTCCATTTTCCCTTTCATTATCCCTATACAACCCCTGCGTCCCACCCTAAACGCTAGACATTGTTAAAGCCATTAGGGAACATATAGGATATCCCAGGGGCCTACCCAGGTTTGGGGTTCGGGGAAAAGCGGCTGGGAGCTTGGGGTTTGGCGTTAAGCCTTTATGGGTCTGGCTTTTAGGGTTTAGGGTTTAGGGTTTAGGGGTTTAGGGGTTTAGGGTTTAGGGTTTAGGGTTTAAGGGCTTAGAGGGTTCAGCGTAAGGGATGTAGGGTTCAGGGTGTGGGATTGAGGCGGTCTCCAACACACGGGGTGCTTCTGGGTATATGCATAAATCCCTAACTGTGTACAGCGCCGCGAGACTATATCCCTAAACCCTTAACCATACATATATATATATATACATATACACATACATACATATATGAGATTTGAAAGGTTTCTACGGAAATCACAAGAGAGGTTCTCTGGGAGAACTCCCAATGGTTAGGGCTTCGGGCTTAGCTTTGATGGATTGAGATGTATTCGCTCTGAAATCTGGGCCTTCTTGTGGTACTGACCAGATATTGCGTATGCTTGCTTTGGGATTTTCAGCATTTGAACGCCTTCCCCGTGTTTTTGGGCTGGTGCTGTTTCGGGTTTCAAGATCCCGCGAACCAGTGTAGTGTGACAGAATACCCCTACGGGACAGAACTAGCTTGGTTTCTCTAACAGATCGACCTCTTCTTTGAAGCCATAATGATGAAGTAGGTCCAAGGAGGACTATATCACAATATCTCAATCTTACTTTTTCCTACTAGGGGGGTCTGGGGATATAGTCCCCATGCAAACCCTAGATGATATAGGATCCTTCCTCCATACTTAGAACCAAGAAGTGGAATCACAATACCTCAAGTCTTGAAACTCAGAGAAGTGTTTGTCTCCTACAGGGATGCCTACAGCTTGGAACCCTGCCACCTCTCCTACAAGCACACCTAAACTGACCGGCTCTTAGTCGTGGATCAGGGAATGCAACATCTAGGGTTTATAGGGGTGGTTGTCAAAGTTATGGTCCCATTTTTGGGTCCCTATTATAATATGCCC